AAAGTTGGTAGAAATCATCTATTTCTTCTTCTTTGGCTCTGGTTGTTGGTGCATATATCTGAATGATAGTGGTATTTACTGGACTTCCTTGTAAGCGTATGGATATAATCCTGTCCCAAATCGTCTTTATGAGCTCAGGATTCAGAACCATCATAGTTGACTCTCCAGAAGATTTTCAGAGGGTATAAATCACACAGGAGGAGATTGCTGTGTGCTGAGAGTCGGGATCAACCCACAGCTGACCCTCTAGCAGGTTTTCAAAGGCAGTAAATTACATGAGAGTTGAATGATTCTCTTTCTCCTACAGAATAGCCAGCGGATTCGAACTCTGTACCTTTGAGTGACTTAGATCTTTTCAACAAAAACTTATTTTATGTCTTTCTCTTTTCCATCTCTGTTATTTTTTTAATCTGTTTTACTTTACTAAAAGAACACAAAGATTATTACAGAAAATCTTTAGGGTCTAAATATAAGAAGATATACTAGTAACTTTTGATAATTCTCATTCTCATCCCCAAATAACAAGAAAAATGAGCTATCACTCCTATTAGTTTCAAAGATCCTTTAACCACAAAATTCTTTGCCCCAGTGAAATAGTGTATAGAATTTCACTATATAATGGTGAATCACATAAATCAATATGGCTCTTTCTGAACTCAGGAGAGAAACCAAAAGTGAAATTGATTTAGAAAGAAAAAGTAGTTCTACATAAACAGTGTGCCTTTCTTAAATTCTTTTACCTACTCCTTTAGTTAAATATTTCACTAATTATTACTATGTTTTAACATTTAAGAGTAAGCTGATTTCACTGAAAACAGAGCTACTATTGTAAATAAAAGTAGCAAGAATTAATTATGAGCAATAATCACCTTTATCATACAATCATAAGAAACACCAGAATTTGTGGCATTTATTACTCACATAAAGTTAATTCTGAATGGGGTAAAGGAAAATTCTGGAGATAAAAATAGCTAAGACTTGTCATCTAAATACCTCAAAGTTTATTTATCCAGTATGGTTGGACTATTTAGTGCTAAAATCTTACATTTCTATTTGGGCCTCGAGGTGTGACTGATCAACCTCTATCTGTTCTTTCATTCATAGGTAACATCTTTTCTAGTTTCATTAGCTTTCATGTCCCTTGTGGTTAAGTGCCTTCAGGTTGACTACGACTCGCAGGGCCCTACCTACCATGGGAGAAGGCCCTGTCTGAACCTGCACCATCCTCAAAATTCTTCAGCCCACTGTCACTGCACCAGTACGTGTTGTAGAGGGTCTTCCTCTCACCTTCCCTCTGCCTCATCAAGCACATTTTTGTCCAGGGACTAGTCACTTGGATAAGATGCCCAAAGTATGTGAGAAGTCTTACCATCCTTGCATTTAGGGAAGGCTCTGGTTCTATTTCCTCTAAGTCAGACAACAGATCTTCTAAACGTATGTATTCCTTGTAGTTGGAAGCAGTCAAACTGTCTGCATTCAAGCATTGCTACTGGCCAGCTGATATTTATCGGATACACACTGTGCTTTATAACGTTGGGCAGATGGTGCTATTTCTCTGAGCCTCAGTGTTATCTGCACACACACACACCCCTTTGCAAAGTGCTTAAACCATATTAAAAGGAAAAAGTTGGAAACTTCTTCACAGACTTGGGTGTATGGTACTTTGTCAAAATTCTCCAAAATAACCACATGTAATCTGATGGAATAAATTCTTCTTAGACTTGCTTTTCCAGTTCCTAGTCTTGGTGAATAGCTCTGAGGCAGATTAAGTCTTGTCCTTCCTTGTTCATAGCCATGCTGGTAAAACTGGACCAAGGTTTCCCCTTTGGCTGTGTATCCCATCAATATGTGCATTCCTTAATCTCTGTATTGGGGCTGCTTGTCTAAAGGTCTAAGTAGTTATTTCCCCAGGCCCTTAGCAGAAAATTCTCTGGTCAGCCAACATCAGATCCTTGTAGTACTTCTCACTTTAAGTGTTTCTATCCTAGTAAATGAAAAGCAACTCTGGTGGCTTGGTGGTAAAAAACTGTGCTGCCTACCCAAAGGCACGTGTGTCACCATCCACTTGCTGGCAACGAACAGCAACACCCTGATGGAGTAAGCACAATGGAGACACACCACTCTGGGAGCCATTCAGAGAGTCAATTCAGCTCAACTTTATTGGGGGCTGCAGTGCACTTGTATATGAGCAAGTAAACAGGGAGACAGGATAGGGTGGGCTTGCAGACATGGGACATGCAAATTGGATAAGATAGCCTCAGCCGTGTACGGGCTACTACCAGCTCAACAGACGTGGCAGCCGTCTTCCCAAATGGTGAACTTTCTCAAGCCTGTATGGCCAAGCACAGGAGAGCTTTCTCTACCCCATATTAAAGGCCGTTGGGAGGCTTGCACTTATCTGGAGCTAGGTGATCTGTTCTGGCGAGAGGCCCTGCCTTCCTCCACACATTCCCCAACACATGTGGCTCAAATCCACAAGGTGTTCTATGGGGAAAAGATGGGCAATCTCCTCCCATGTGATAAACTGCATTGAGGAACCGTCTGGAGGGTCAGCTATGGGTCAGTTTCAACTCCATGATGTTGTTGCGGTTATGTGCCGTCGAGTG